TCATTTGGAATATATTTTCAATTGAATATTTTTTTTGATTTGTTTTAGGTTGAGTGGTTGATCTTAGAGGTAGCTACACCCAAATATAACTAGGAATGTCTCGTCCAATATTGGTCCAAATTTTAGGATCGAACATTGAAAAAAAAAAAAAAAAACTCTAACCTGTTCGACCTAATACCTAAGTCAAAATGCTCAACTTAACTTTACCTGTTCGACCCAATACCTAAGTCGAAATGCTCAACTTAACTTTGCGTGACATTCCATGAAAGTGAAAAGAAGATATCGGGTTGGTATCGGTAGCGTCAGAATCGCTACGATACAGTAATTATATTGGACATGAAAAAAGATGTATTGAGCCATTCCTAATAATTTCCCTACTGCCTATTAGTTTTCTGAGCATTTGCTTAAACATAAAAAAGCAAGGACTAAACATGATTGGTTTTAAGAGGTCCATCATCTTAATTCTTTTGATAAGCACTCCAGTAAATGTTTTTTTGTAATTACAGTTTTGTCTATCTAGTTCTTATATGGTCTACAGCTCCAAAAATCAACCTCTACTTAATCTTACATTAATTACAGCCAATCTGTCATGTGATGTCATTATTAAGCTGAGGCAAAGTGTTTTAATTAGGGCTGGCAAGGCTTTAATATATTATTTATTAATAATTAAAGAGACAAAAAAAAGAAAAAAAAATCACAACCTTTTCTCTCCCCTTTTTTTTTTGTGAAAAAAAAATCACAATCTTTTCTCTTCCCTTTTCTTTGGTACAGTGATCAGGTAAGAACGATGTATATGCACTCCTAAGCTGTAGGGGGTAGTAACGCACCAAGCCCGAAGAAAATGAACAGGGTACATTAATGTCAATGCACATTAAAAAAACAAAGGGAACACTGTGAGAAGAGGGAGCGACTTGCTTGACTTGTTGAGAGAAGGTTCAACAAAGAGCAACAAAGACCTTTTCTATAGCACTTCAAAACTATGACATCACCGCAATGTAAAACATGTGCAAACACAGACACCTGCGCTAACGTTAGCTTCGACGGTACTGCTTACAACAATATACAGGAGTCAGGAGGGGCTCGGAGTCAAAAAGGTGTTGTTACGTTTTGTTATATGCTATGATATAATAGCTAAGAAAAGTGTTAGACAGGTAAAATATATCCAATAGATAGCGATGAAAGCTGTTGTTACGTTTTGTTATATGTAAAATGTTATATTCTATGATATAAAAGCTAAGAAAAGTGTTAGACAGGTCAAATATATCCAATAGATAGCGATGAAAGAACTGACTTTTCTGTTGGTTAAGTTGGTGTCAGTCTGTTCATTGACTCAGTTGTCAAAGAAAAATCAATACTGATAAAACAGCGCACTCTGTCAAATATTGCTAGGCGATGAAAAAAACAATTAATGGAGATTAATTAATTACCAAGCTATAAATTAATTACGTCCCAACACTTCTGAAAATCCATTGAAATTGAACAGGTGAACAGTATTCAGCGTATCTGCCGAGTTTTGTATTGAACATGTAAAAAAAAAAAAAATACAATACTACATCAAATACGAAGGGTGTTGTGTCTGGCCAACAGTCAAAACTCTAGAGATCTTTAAACTATATTCGACTTTTACTAAAACATACAAAGGCCCAGAACAATTTTCACAGGAGAGAAGAATTACTGAAAAGGTCAATCCATAAATCAGCCTCACACTAAATACCTCACATTCTCCAAATCTCATGTCCCAAGTACTTCCCTGAGCGATCAATTCTGCACCCCAGTCAGCTCTATAAACAGAAACATCATGAGCAGCTAACGACACATGCTTGTGGTTGTCTGCTACTGACCAGGCCGAGACAACAAACAGAAAAAAACCTGAGTTGTGAAAGACTGCAGTGATCACGGTAATCAGACTGGCAGTGACACAGGGTGAGCTCTCATCCATCAACTTATTTCTGTCTTGATTGATTTAAGTCCATTTGGATCTCCTGTGGATGTTGTGCACACCTATCATTTGCATAATTACGCTCTGAAGCAGTTCGGAAACAGGAGCCATTTGGTGAATTAACTTTATATCTTATCAATCAAGCGGGCTGTCATTGTGTATGAATACCCCCTGACTCTTGGTTTTAAAATGCTAAGTGCAGCAGCTTCCTGTCTTCTGCCACGCCACTGGGTCTGTTGTTGCCTGGTGGCTTTAATTCACAGTAACTGTCATGGTCAGACCCCAGCTAACTCATCCTAATCCTTGGGGGGGCTCAACCATCAATCAGACTAGCTCTCTGACAGTTAAGATGGATGACGCTAGCTTCTACAGGAAGCTGTATCCGCTCATTAACTCTCTTGTTAGCATGTGCTCATAGCTGCACGATTTGGCCTTCTTCTTTTTTTATCTGCTCCAATCTCCCCATTACCACCCTTTACGGCACCCATAGAGGACCATCCTTTTTGTGGGTATGGGTCAACTGTTAATCATGTCACAGGCAATGGTTGTTTAGTACCACAATGGTCTGATGTGTCAAAATTGGACAACATACATTCCCGGGATTGAGCGTCACAAAGAGGCCAGTGTACTGCCACAAGGGCCCTCTCTCTGACTTAACGACGCCGTGGCTCCAATGCAACCAAGTAGCCTGTGCTAAACAGGACCAGCAGATGAATAGGCGGCATTTTCACAGCACGCACTGCTTCGCCAAAAGAAGAACCACGCAGGCGGCAAAGACACTTCAGCTTAACTATTTCGGCAGCCTTCAATGCAGAGGCCACTGCATCACAGCAGGCGTAAAAGACATCTATTGTCATACAAAGAGTTACAGAAAGGGGAGTGGGAAAAGTGAAGGACTGAAAGACAAATGGTCCCTCTTCACTGACGGTGATGAACGACACGATCACAACAAGTTTCGGAGGAGGTTGGTATCTTACTGGGGAGCAGCTCAAATGTCACACTAAATATGCAATCACTAACAGCACACACCCTGTATGTCTTTCCTGGTCTGTATCAAAAAAGTGCTTGGTAGGTCAATTAAATGTCAACTGATTTACGTCAGACTTCACATGCCGGCCTACGCCACATTGAGGAAAACATTTTGAGAAATATTTTTTTAAGAGATTTTAAAAACAAAAGTAAAGTAAAAAGAGTGGTATTTTAATATTTAATACTTTTGTACTGAGAAGTATGGTCAGTTTTTTTGTTTCCGTATTGCGGACACACTATAGAGGAAAGACCAACATGTTGTATCACATAAAAAAATCTTTAACATCAAAGCATTTAAATCAGTTTCTCACATGGTCCAAAAAACCGGGTCGTGTGTCGTTCGTTTCTCACATGGTCCAAAAAGCCGGGTCGTGTATTTTTTTTTTTTTAATGATCAAAACTTCTAGGATATATTGCGCTTTAGTTGGTAGGTATTGTCTGAATTGTAGATTGTTCTTGGGGAAACCACTGAATGGACAATTTAATGTTAGTGGAGCCACTGAAAGAAGTGCTGATAGTGCAAGCACAATTCTCATTTTATTCAGATTAACTACCCCTTGATACAAAGGCTTCTCATGCCTCAGTGGAGAGAGCTCATAAGGTTGCAGCATCAAGACCGTAACTTAATCCATAGGAGATACGGCCTTTATGCACTTGAACAGCCGGCGCGTTATACTGACATGCTTTTATTTTTATCTACAGACAATAACGCATTAATTAATAGTGACACGGGGTACTCTCATTCGGAGGATTTAGCATCAAGACGTAGTAAGACAAGGGGCTCTAGCTAAAATTACTTTGTCAAGCCAGAGCTGTTTTCTGTTATGCTGCATCGCTCCGTCCCTGTGGAAATAAATCATGAGCTTCCTGTGCACCTAAGGACACAAGCGGGTCTTACGTCTGTGCATATTAAAAAAAAAAAAAAAAACAAGAACAATAAAAGAAGCTCTGTGGACTGTGGATAAGCGATAGCCCGCTAAGGCAGAAGACACAAGTACAACCAGAGGTGGGTTGTGTTGCTCTAAATTACATGCTCTAATATATTTCATTAACACACCTCCCTCAGAGTGTCCCTAATGGGAGACAGCATGGCATAAAAGCTTATCTGCCAGGGACATTAATTTTCTCTTAGATGCATTCTGTTCAATTACTACTGGCCGCTCCTCCTCAATAGCGCTTGGAAGATGCCGAAGGGACGAGGGAAAGAAGCGAATCCGGTTGATGACAAGAAAGGCCACTCGTGTTGTGTATCGTAACCTTGTAACCTGGTCACCTGGTCACCTTTTTTTTTTTTAAATCCACACTGATTTTTTATCACTAAAAATCAGATGGCTGTTGTGGCTGTTTGACCCTACTTTCACATAATTGGAGTCTGTATTTGACCCTACTTTCACATAATTGGAGTGACAAAAAAGCGTGTTATTGGGAGTGACAGTTGAACGACCCAGCAACTCAAAGAATGACACATAAACGTGACCTTCCCATTTGGCTGCTTCATAAATATCCCCAGGCCTAAATGCCACAGCGCAGCATCTATTTGTTTCCCTTTCTGTCATGGTCATTTGGCTGGGCCAGAGAGATACTGAAAGGCCGGGCTGGACCTACTATGACCAGTGTATTCTGCTGCTGATTGTCTTGGCCCTCTGCCAGCAAGAAGAAGAACGACGTATAAGCCAAAGAGCTAAACTCGGGTTATTATTTAATGCCAGTGTCAACAGAATCAGTCATAAATTAAGAGCCTCGCAATCAATTAGAACGGCGTCCAATTAAAATACTCTGTGTTTGCGGTCAACATATCTTCTATAATCGCATCATTTCTCAACACTTTTTACTCAAATGTGCCTTAACTGTCATTTGACATTTAACTTCCACTTGCTTTGCATAGCAAAGAAATCAGTTTTTTTTTTGTTTTTTTTTGGCGTAAAAGAATTCAGAAACCCCTGGTGAATTGCCAAACAGCAAATATTTACCGTAGAGATGCTTCATATTTGTCTCGTTATTTTAATTAAAAAAAAAAAAAAAAGATGCTTACGTTCACATGCGTCGCCCTTTTGGTGAAATCCAGCTCTGCATACACACTTCCCAATGGGCACTAGCCATTCCCCTTCAGCACTGCAGTGCATTTTGGGAGAGTTGTCGGCCTCCTCTTCGGCATTGATTACGCACATGCCCTCGACCTCCACTAATGAGGAAAATTCAGATCCCGTCACAGTGTCTGGGAAGGTAGCCAGGTTCTCAATGATAGACCAACATTTCTTGTAGTAAACTTTAACAGACACCAGGGCGATGCACGCCCCAACATCCTGGAAGGCCAAGTAGAAGCCCCTTCTAGACAGGGGGCCAATGATGCGCACCTCGGTGTTTAGCTTCATCTTCCTCTCGCCCAGGTCACCCTGAGTGAAGCTTTCGTCTGCGGCGATTGTGTCAATTTTCACGTACTGATTCTCGCGTAAACTCCTCCCCACTTCCGAATCCGTCTCCTGGTAATACAAGTTGAATGTCTCCTTGCACGTGCCCACCACACCAGGTAGGCTGTTACAATCCCTCAGGGTGAACTTTAGTTCCACAAAAATTCTCTGAGCATCACCCTTCTCTATCCAGTTAGTCCGAAGCCAGTTATTCTGATTAGGCTCCATGACCTGGCAGACCTGGTATGTACGGATAGGTGTGTAGTTCTCATCCAGGCCACTGATCTCTTCCCACTGCCGGAAAGAAAACAGACATTATCCAAAAAAAAAAAAAAATCCATACACTTTTAAGTTTACCCACATCAATTCTAAACCTTTAAAAACTCTGACGCATGACAATATCAATTCCCAGTTAAACCTTTAAAAACTCTATCTGACGCATGACAATATCAATTCCCAGAGATATGGTTATGGACATGGGACAAGGAGGACATTTTTGGAATTAAAAACTAATATTTGTCCATGTTCTCCGATACACGAATTACGCGAGTTGGTAAATATTTTACCTCATACATTCAGCAAATCTACTTCACGCATACAAAATAACACAGGGTGTTAAAGATAAATGCGAGTTGGTAAATATTTCACCTCATACATTCGACAAATCTACTTCACGCGTACAAAATAACACAGGGTGTTAAAGATATGGAATGCAGTCCACAACTGTGAGCTGGTCCGATTTTTGTTGCCTGTCGTCCTTCAGAAATTTGAGTTAAGGCAGCTGCGCTCGAATGAATATCTCGCAGGTAGTAATTCCAACACTACTTCATGTGATATCGATAAGAACTGCAGGTAGCAAGAGAGGATTAGCGGCTGCGTTTTTTTTTTTTTAATTGCGCAAACTCGTCTTTAAAAAGTGTAACCGCGCTCTGCTTATCTCCTCCGCCTCACATTATTTATTTAAAAACTTTCTCACATCCCACTCTCGGTCAGACTAACAGGTTGGAAGGACTCTGCTCCAGGCCTCTGTGCTCTGAATGTCAACAACTGAAAGAGTTTTTTACCACAGCAAAAACATCCCTGTGTACTTTATCAGGGTATAAAGGGCTTGGGCTGGGGGTTGGGGATTAAACTGAGCGTGCCAGCAAATATTCCTTAAATAGTATGTACTCCTACGTTATACACATATAGGACGTGGTAGAAAACTGGGGAAGATGTATCTGCAGTGAATGTACAACCAGGAGACAAGGGGGAGGGGGGTTACATCTGTGTGCCTGCATGTGATGCGGAGATTCTGCAGACTTACCCCATTGGGAGGATAGGAGATCCACTCCAGTTCTGTCTGCTGTGCCTTGGAGTCCAGCAGAATCACTAGTGACAGGAAACCGAGAGGCAGGTGGTTAAATCTCACCGGGAGCACCGGTGGCTGGGTGTTAGTGACAGGCCACACATCTACACGTACGTGAAGCACATACTGTACACGCGTGACCTAATTTTTCAAGGCAGCAGCTAAAAAAGCTAATATCAGACACCCTTCCCTTCCCTTCCGAACCCTCCCAACCTCCCCTCGTGTGCGCGTGTATGTGTGTGTCTGCACCACTGCGGGGAAACTTTTTGAGAGGTGAGACAAATAATAAAAAAAATAAAAAGAATAAACACTGACAAAAGCACGACGTCTAACCGAAAACAAATGTTAATTACGCGCGGGTTTTATGTACATTTAACCTAACGCTGTGTCTGTGTGTTACGTTCAATGTCAAAGCCTACATTCTCCTACAGAGACGGGGGGGAGTTGGGAGTTTTCACGGCTGCCCCTGAAGCGCACAGCGGCAACAGCCCCCGCGGCCGCCGCCGCTGCGCCCCCTGCCGTTACGGCCGCAGCTTTGTCCTCTGCGGCTCAATGGTGCCATAAAACTACAGAGTTTAAACAAAACATGACATAAACAGGCGGCGGGTGTTGCGGCGTTAAGCCGTTGAAGAGATTAAGACCCTAAAAAGCAAGCGAGTACCAGCTCTTGTTTGCTCCGTACGGCGAGTGCGCTAAGTGGCACCGCGTGGCGTTTACGTTCACCAAAAGGATAAACTTGTTTTGTTTTTTGTTTTTAAATATAGCGCTGGCCAAAAACTGAAAATAGAGAGGGGGCGCTATATATTATTATGTCTTACAGGTGATCCCTGGAATTCCCGGTTACACCGACGCATTTAACGTCTACCTATACACTATTTAAATGCGAGTGTTTTAATGTTATAACATCAATAACGAAAAATATTAAAATGTTATTAATATGCTAGTGTACTTTAGTTTTATTTATTTATTTATTTTGCTTTAACGCATTCTATTGGTAATAATAACCAACCATCCAAAAGTCAATTTCAGATTTTTTTTTTTTTTTGGTATAAAAATGCATCTTCTTGCTAACTTGGACATCAGTGACTGTTGTTGTAATCCGGCCACAAACGATTCTGCACTGGCCCTGATCTGCTGGATCTGACGGAGATCAATTCGGAGGAAATAAAGAAAAAAATTAATAAATACATTGTAAATCCCTGAAACTGCATCCGAGGACCACACACTCAACTGTACCCAGCGCTGTCAGAGCGGATCGCCCGGTACAGCGTCCCGGTCAACTGTCCCTGAATGAGTTCATCATTTCAGCTGTGGGTCACAGCAAAAACGGCTGCTGTTGCTCATCTGAATGTCCTGTACTCACCGAGAATAAAAACTCGGTCAAGTCTCCGACAAAAAAAATCAGTCCTGTCATCTCCGACGCACTCACCCCAAACGATGTTTTTTTTTTTTCCTTTTTAAATCTACTGTACCATGACTTTTGTTCAGGTTAAATAATAATAAAAAGGACAGAAGTGGGGATGAATATAAGACTCGGCGGTGTCACTGTCTTCCAAACGCGGTGGGATGGCCAGAGGGAAGTCCGAAACTTTAACAACTCACCTTCCTTGGCGTTCTGTGCTTCCACGTAACAGCAGAGTCGAAGGCAAACAGTAATCCACACGCACGGGATGGCTCTGGAGAGCATGATGCGTCGCTGCTGGTGCGGGGTCTCACTCAATGCCGTAAGTCGCTTGTACCGCTGCCTCGCACCACGCTTCCCATTGACGACGCTCACAAACAACCGCCCCGGACTCTATCTGTCGGCGTATAACAGTTCCGCCAGTAGTTCAACACTCACTCAAATAGCGTCTGCGGTCGTTGGGAGGAGACTGTAGCTCCCCGGGTGTCAATCACACGCCGGGACACTGGCGCGGGCCAATGGCGACGCAGAGGAGGAGGAGGAAGGGGAGGAGACGTCACGGTCGAGGAAGGGACACTGGTAGCGTAGAGGTGAGAGGGATGATGAAGAGGGTGAAACAGGGCACGGAGAAGGAAGGGGAATGTTGTTACAACTTTTTTTTTTTTTTTTTTTACATCCGTACAGGGAACAAAATGAGCATCACTTTTATTTCAGCGGTTCGGACCGTTATTTTTCTTGTTGTTGTTGGTTTGTGAAATAAACGAAAAAAGGAATTTGAAAGGTTACAAAAGACATAAGGCAGATTAAAAGGCATAATAAAAAAACAAGTACTACTAATGTGTGTTTTATTTCAAATTTAATTTCTCATGTGTTTATAATATTAATCTGTTGGTTGTCCCAGATTCAGATGTTAATGCAAAACTAAAGGTTGTATAAAAAAAATAATCAACATTACATATCTGGAGAGAAGGGAAAACGTGCTCAATTGCAGTCACTTTTTCAATAAATATTAGGTTTGTCCCGTGACTTTTTTTAAATTTTGACCCACTGTGAATTTAAGTTTGACACCACTGATTTAGAGTGTCACGTCTCAGACTGCGTTGTCATGCATGCCTGTTCTCTTTCCTCATTGGTCACCACGTCAACAGAATATATCATGTCATATACATATATATTGTGTTTTACTTATTTTGAAAAGTACTTTGCAGTGTCCATTCTGTCCACCTGCGTCTATCAATAAACCTCACGACACATGCCACTTAAACTCTTAAAGTTGGTACTTATCAAATGGGGCGGGCCACTAGGTGGCAGCAACTCATACAGTGGTTTTTACAGATATAAAATAAACATCTTATCAGGTTCTCAATAGTATTTCAATTCACAGGTTGTGGGCCAGGGGTGGGCGGGGGAGTAAACTGCTGCTATAGTATTATAAGACTATTAAAAATACATATGTAGTGTCTGTATATATGTATACACACATATATATATTTATATATTATAGTCAAAAGTAATCGTAAAAGTGTTTCAGTAAGAGAGTAAAAAGTACATATGTTTCTTTCAGGTAGAGAAATTTAGCGAATTATTGTCACTGACGCACAGCACACAATAGCTGTGTCCAAGACTGCCCCCTACACCCGACGCAGTGCACTACATTGGGGGCACGCCATTTTGTAGTCCCAATGTTTAGTGAGTAAAAAAGTGTCCACTATAAAGGGCTCTCGGTGTACAAATCTAGTCTACATTCAATGTACACTACCCAGCAATATATCCCAACATGCATTGCAGTCGTGACGACATGGCAAAGAGAGGGACAGCAACCGCCCGACATATGTAGCTGCGTAATTAATAGTGCGCTATATATAATTCCCTATATGGGGAGTAGGGAATGAGTAAGTGATTTCGGAAGCAGCCAATGAAATGCGTCCTCTGCCTTTAACCCCCGCCTTCAATCACCTGAACCGTCAAGTGAGGGGCCGTGGAGCAGTGTGTGCGGACTGGGCCATGCACAGTGCTCCTCGATGAGAACTAGTGGCTGGTGGATTCGAACTTGGAACCCTCCGGACACGTGTCCGCTTCCTTAAGCCGCCACTTCTCTCAGGAAAGAGCAATTTATGCTTTCCACGGTTTCATGTCGGTATGTCAGCAACGTGTAATTTCCAGCCTATTTTGTGGTGTGGCACAATTTATCTGCTTCCTATTTTCTTTCTCCTTCTTTCAGATTTTTCTTCTGAGGTTGCTCAAGCAGATAATCTGTCTCAATTTCACTCACTTTCTTGCCTTCTCTCTCCTTGGGAGTGACCTGGATAGACCCAACCGAAATGAACAAAACACCTTTTTGTTCACACTCAGTGTGGAAAATAAAGGACACAGTTGCGCGGCGAATTGTCATAACGACTGAGCAATGCATCGCAAGAAGGTCAAAGGTGAGACAAAGATTAAAAAGATTTGAATATAAATGATCAACTCATCATACATGAAGATACGATAGAAACTGGATGTGATGGAGAGACGCAGGGTTCAGCTTCATGTGGAACTCGAGGTCCTGGTACCCTTGTTCGATCTCCAGGACTTTGTTCATTGCTTTGCTGTTTTCACCATGACAAATTAAAATGAAGTTGAGTAGGTCTTAAAAGTAGCACATCCGCTGGGATTCCGAGTAGTTGGGTGGTAGGAACCGGCAAATGAGCATCTATCCAGCCTCACCCTCCAGCACAGTACTGGGAGAACACAGTGATTATTGATCCGTCTGAGGGGCGAACAGCTCAACCAATCAATGGCTCTTTGAGTCCCCTGAGGATTGTGGGGCGGAGGAGAAACATGGCGTGTGGGTGTGTGTGTGTGTGAGCGCGAAGCAGAGGCCACTGAAGTGGCAGTGCCAGAGTGATTTCTGTCCAACACAAATCACCAGCTTAATTGACGGCCTTGAAATTGGTTTAAAAGGCCTGGTGCCCCCTGCCTCCTTCCTCCCAGGCAACCATTTACAGGGATTAGTGTCATTATCCCTCCTGGGGATGAAGGTGAAAAGCCGGTCAGGTGTCGCACAAGCTGGGATGGCAGCTATCAAAACACTAAGCAGTCGAGTGACACACAGTTCATTCGTCTCGACCACACTCACGGCCAGGGATGTACGTCTACGGGTCATCAGATGAGAAAGACATTGATATCAAATCAAATAAAGGTGACTGGGCATTTAAATCATCATTTATATAATTTATTGTATCTGAAATTTCTTATATTTATTTATGCTAAAAGTAATAGGTTTTAGGTTTTTTATTGGTCCATTAATTGAACTGGTTTTAATCTACCAAATTGGGCATTGTTTGGCCATATTAATAATAATAATAATAATAAAAGTTATATTCTGGTTATCAATATTATCCAAAATATTTTTAAAAAAATATTTAATTTAATTTTCTTTTTTTTTAATTGCTCTTTAAACAATCCAAAGATAGCTAAAAATGTAGCTAAAGAAAGGGAAATAAATCGACCAGAGTCCAAAACAAGTGGATTTTCAAGGTGATACAAAAAAACCCTAATTTAAGGTAAATTTTGTATAATTAGTGCAGGGCTTTGAAATTATCATTATTTTTTTTAATTATTATTTTAACGGTTTTGTCCTAACGCTGTCGGAAAGCGACCAAATGTTTGCGTGAGCGCTACGTATGCTAGTTGCAGTCAATTGACAGGCACTCAATGGGATGAGATATAATACTTCAGCTGTGTGAAGTATTACATGTACTTCTGTATAGTGTTTTTTGTTGAATCTATAAGAGTGTGACATCATGTACAATAGTCAGGTCCCATGCTGGCAATAGGTCAGGCCTTTAAAACGTGACACTTGCCTTTTGTATTTTTTACCATTTGATTGGCGACCAGAGAAAAGTGGAAGTGTGCCATGGGGCGAAAGGTCACATGTAGGCAGCTGGAGCTGTGAAACATGGCATGTCAGCATGCACGAGACAACTGTGAGTGGAGCCGTCGCGAGATAATTTAAGTTCAATGGGCGATGGTCCATAAATGGCGACAATGATGAAGGATCAGTGGAGGCAGCTGTTGCAACACGAGTCACCCCCGCAGACTGACACAAACTTAATAGACTCAGTAAACGTTTTCAGGACTTAGCAGATATCACCTCCGGTGGACACAGCTTGACTTACAGCCACTGAGAGATAAAGTGGGATTTATCCCCAATTGTTGCTAACAATGCATTGTGAGTAGGAAGAGTTCAGATCTTGTGACAGTCATTTTTGTTCCCACCGTTGGTTGAGAAAGTTTAATGGTGTCGACTGCCTTAACGAAATAGTTTGTACAAAAGCTACAACTCAGGTAATTAAATTCTGCATCATATTAAAATCACTATATGGTGTTGTTGATGTCAGGATATATTTAGATATTAAAGAAGGAAATGATTTCCTAAGAGTCAATTGTGGGAAGTACCATATTTTTTATATAAGTTGCACTTTTTTTATCCTTTGGCTACGTTTGCGACTTATACTCAGGTGCGACTTATATATTAAAATATATAATTTAACAGTTTCTTTTTTATTTTCACACTGACAGCCACTAGAGGGCACTCTACGCTTATATCTGCTACACCTGCAAATCGCACTATTTTTCATCCTTTGGCTGGTGCGACTTATATTCCGGAAAATACGGTAAGTAGATAATAAAGGATACTAATATTACATATTTCATATATATGTATGTATGTATGTATATCAATAATTACTATATCTTTGTTGGAATGTATTTAGCATATTGCAAAGATGTCCAGCATAAATATTTACGTGCTCCCTTACCTTACCCTTACCTATATATGTACATATATGTACTCTATGTACATATATGATTATATATATATATACATATATACACACATACATACATATATCTGTCGTGCTGAACTGAAACAGATTTTACAGCACTCCTAAAATATGTAATATATAAAATGCTGATGACGTCAACAATGTAAATACATATCTGGGATAAGAACCACTGTACTATAAATCCTACGCCATTGGCTGCATCGAGGATAAGAATCTCAGTTGATCTTGTGAATTACTTTTTTTTTTTTCAGCCGGTTTACTAGCATCGCCGCTTTTTACTACAGGCAAAGTAAGCATGTCACATCTGCAGCAAAATGAGCCTGACTTTGTGTGTGTTTTTTGTTTCTGTGCTGTCTGTCAGCTGGGTCATCCAGATCCAGGGATCTGGTTATATTTCACCATGTTTATGTTTAAAATAAAATATGAAAGACATCAACAAAATCCCTTCCTAATCCATCACTGTCAGTGCCAACCAGGACCTCCATGACGGTTCTGAAAGAATTCTACCAGCAAGGTAAGGGAGCATGTAAATATTTAGCATTGCTCCTCATGGCTTTGTTAAGTACAAACTCCAGAGTTAAATTTCTATGACAAAGACTCTGATGTGGCTGAAATGTGTATTGAAGATGTACAAACGTTGCGTACGCATGTTGTTCCGCGGCTTTCTTGTTCCTCTTAAGAGGTGTCGATAAGGCTGTCACTGTGTGTTTTTTTGTGTGTGTGTGAAAAAAAGAGAGTGCTAGTTTTCGCATCCAGTGACTGTCAACCTAACTTCTGAAAATGTACATTACATTTATATGATGTAAAACACGCATGACTAAGGCCCAGGGACCGGAAGCTTTTTTATCCGGCCCGCAAAACTTTTCCAAATTGTACCACTTATTTATATTATCATTATAC